ATATATGCATATGCATATGCATATGCCTATGTGTATGTATGTATGTATGTATGTATGTATGTATGTACGTATGTATGTATGCATGTATGTATGTATGTATGTATGTATGTATGCAGAATAAAGAGAGAAGAGAGGCTAATCCCGAACTCCGGGTCCAGAGCTTGTTGGACTCCGCTTCGCCTGCCAAGTCGAAGTTTGTGCAGAGGCGAAAGCTGTAAGCCCGCAATCCCGAAAGCACAAGGATGTACTTTAAGATTATAATTCTGTAGCCATGACCTTAAGATCCCCCTTCAAGAAGAGCTCTCGAACCTCTGTACATCAGTTCTCTACACCTTGGCATGGAACAAGCAGGACTGCTGCGAGCCTCGCATGTGTACCCTGGCAATCTGAAAGCCGCCGCCGCTACATGTTACTGTTCAGTGTCAAGGGTGTAGGCTTGGATTTCGGAGGTCGTCTGGGTAGGTTTCCAAGCTTCCAGCTGAATATCGATCGACTCGCCTCTTCCCCGCATGCTTGGTGAAGGGGTCTGGCTCGGTATCTCTTCTCGCACTCAGTCAGCACGGTGGGGCGAAGTCCGTCACTCTTGCACAATCTTTCTTTTCCCATCCCGAGGCAGTGAGTACACCTGCGAAGAGAACACGAAGAAGGGCCGCAAGGGAGCCTACGCGTCTCGGTAGAGGTGTGTTTAGAGGCTGCTTCACTCTACACGGATTCTTCTGGGCTTTGTCGTGGCTCTCCTTGGAGTCCTGAACCTTAAGCCCGGGCCTTAAAGCCTAAACCGCAGATCCCTAAGCCATGGGGAAGCTGCAAGCTGTGCCGAGGACACGCTGCAAGGATCCTCAGAGCCCCGGCAAGCTTTACGGTCATTCATTTTTTTAGGGTTTAGGGTTTAGGGTTAAGGGTTTTTTTTTAGAAATAGTCACAGTAATACGACCGCTACTGGTAATAGTGCTGCTGATACTAACGCGAATCCTAATCCTAAGGCAAGGACCACGGCTGAGAGACTAAGAGCCTAAGAGAGACTAGGAAACTTTAGAGACTAAGAGGCCAAGAGATCAAGAGACGAGAACAAGACGACGTGGACGAAGACAACTACTACTAATAGGTACAAGTACTAGTATTAGTATTAGTGATGCTAATGCTATAGCTCACTCTAACAGATGTTCATACTCATGCTCATACTAGCAACGAAAACTAACACTCATACGCGTATTGATACTAATGCTGATACCGTTGCTAATGCTAGCACTGATATTCATGCTAATCCTAACAAGCTAACACTAACTCTAACACCAACACTACTCTAACATTAGCACCAATACTAGTACTAATGCCTATACTAATGCTGGTGCCAATACGAATACAAATACTGGTACTACTACTAATACGCATGCTGATACTAAAGACCAAAACTCAGGCTACGAAAACATCGGAGACCTACGAATACAGTACCAGCAACGATAAGCTTGATACGCTTATTGATAATAACAACCGTAAAGAGACCCCTCTTTCATCAAGCATGTTAAAGACATCTCGACTCTTGGGGTCTGCAAGGTCGCAGGCTCCCGAGAGCACCAGAGGTGGCGAAAAAGAGGCTTCTGCCCCTTTCTCTTGTGGGGCAGGGATGTCTGGTTTAGGGGAACTGCCATTGCAGATTTTGGCGATGCTCACGGCCTGCCCTCGCATTTTTTGGGGGGGTTGCGACGTGGGTCGTGGGAGATGGAATGTGGCATGTACCGAGGATGGCGAGTGCTGCGAGGAGAAGAGCTGCCTGGCATGGCACTGGTCGTCGAGCTAGCAAAGATCGTTAGTTAGAACACGGTTTTGGGGTTATGTTGTTCTGATTATAACGAGAATTTAGGCGAACACTGTTAGGAATTCGTTGTAGTCGACATCAGAATCATAGTCGCGACGCAATCTAGCCGAGGCTGCAAATCCTTCGACTGTTCCGTCAGCCCTTCCTGGACGGACAAGAAAGACAAGGACGATGGGCTTCCTCAAAGCCAATATGGGTTCCTTATGATACTTGGGGTATAATATTCCCCCCAAACCCAATTCTAATTATTAAGGCCCCTATACATAACACCCGAAGCCCGGTACGAAGAATCCATAAACCCAGAATGGGCCCGAACCCGGTCTTGCTTGAACGTGTCCACGCACGAAAGGATAGCCAGATGGGCAGCACCTTCATCGAGTGCTGTGACGAGAAATACTGCAAGGACCGCTGCGACCCTTGAGTTTTTTTTCGGAGTTTTGCAGTGCACCTGTTTTGGATTTTGGCAGCAGGGCATCTGCGATTGAGCACGATCGCATCTCATGCGCCGATCAGCCCAGACACAAAGCGCGAAAACATTGACCGAGCCGCAAGGAACAAGAAGGAAGCAGGATCATTCTAGACTCTAGACACCAAGCACCAGTAACACCCAGCACAGTGAGGGGGATATCGCCCGATGTTACTAGTATCAATAGCAACAACAATAATAATAATAATAACAATGAATAGCAGCAGTAACACTAACACTAATAGCCTACTAATAGCAACAACCATATTTTTTTCATGCCCAAACTCGCCTCCTCGCTTTTTCAGGATTTCACCTGCGAGCCCTCGTCGCAGTGGAAGGCAATGAACACCACCCTCGCCGGGGGCACCCAGCGCCCAGGCGCGCCCCCCCGCCCCGCGCTGCTCTAGCAGTCTCCTTTCCTTCCCAACTATAGGGTTTAGGGTATAGGGTTTAGGGTTTAGGGTTTAGGGGTTGAAAGCCCTGAAGCCGAAACCCTATGGGAAACCTCAGAAATTAAGCCGGACGCTTCGAACCCCCAAGCTTCCGCGATGCCTGTTCCGCCTTGGCACACCTCACTTCCAAAGTGAAGCGGAAGCTACTGAGAAAGTCTCTCCGTTGAACCTGAAGCACGAAAGCCCCCAAGGAATCCCCTTGGGCCCTGAAACCCCTCACACACACTGGGGCTGTCCTAGCTGCACCCTCGCAGGCTATACCAACGAAAGATGCTGCGAGCCTCTGAGCTGTAAGGCCACAGGGTCATTATTCTGAAGATGGTTATGACATTTTTCTTCTCTTCTTACTGTGATTGTCATGCTGATTGCATTCCTTAATTTGTTCAGCTTGCATTTGTATACCATGGTTGTGATGACAACAGTTTCTAGCAGTCTTGACCCACTACTTGTGATTCCCAAAAAGTTTGCCTGCACCAAGAGGTTCTTTCCTTACGAGTAAAGGAACTTGGAGGGCGGGATGGCGTGTGCGAGGCGCCGCTAGTAACTAATATTCGCACCTGGCAGTTCCGCGACTCTCGCCGTGGAGGGAGTGCATATTTTCGAACTGAGCCTGCTGGTGCTGCTGGCGCTGCTGCTGCTGCTGCTACCGCTGCTGCTGCTGCTGCTGCTGCTACTGATGCTGTTACTGCTGCTTCTACGACACAGCAACGATGCTACTTTTTTGATTGTTGAACGCTAGTCATTCCGTTGTTTTGATACTCTGTATCAGTACGTGATTGTTGCCACCTATAGCTGCTCCTCTTTGCCAGAAGACGACCTCTCGGCGCTCATGTTCTGTTGTCCTGAGTGGCATCTTCATATCGCATGGGCAGTGCGAAGTGTTAGGGCCTCCAAAAGGAACTTGCAAAAGCGCTTTCAGTGTTCGATGCGCAGGACTACAACTGCAGCAAGCCCAACATGCGATCCGGCGGCATGCAAAAACCCTAAGCCCTAAACCCTACTATAACTATAAAGGACCCCAAAACCCTATCCTAATTATTAAGGCCCCTACAGTAAACAGGGCCACCCTTGCTTGCCTCCTACACAGCCTGTCCTCTCTTTTCATCCGATTCGATGCACCGAAATCGGGAAGTGCAGGATCCTTGGGCCCTGGAGAATCACCAAAAACAGCAGACGAGCCTGAATAAAATCGCCAATAGTCTTCCTTTTGGGTTAATTAATGTGTCATCATACCATAGTCTATACCCCCCCCCAAGCTATGTTCTAGATGTTAAGACGCCCACGTTCCCCTTCTTCGACTCTTTTGTAATCTCTAGGCTAGGCCCAGGGCCTGAACATGACCCTGTTCTAAGTATTTCGGATGTTGGATCTGCGTGCACCACTAAGGAAGTTGAGATCCGGCGACCGTCTGGGGAGCAGCTCGGATGCATGGACGCGTGAGAGTGACACAGGAGTCTGATTACTTCTCTCTACAGGTTTAGGGTCTAGGGTTTAGGAACCGTTGTATAACTATGGCATACGATGCCATGAAGCCCCAGTGCGGGTATGCAAGTTCTCTTGCAGTAGAGTTTCTGGCTCAAAGTTCCGCTGTTCACGCTTGCGTGGACGGATCTGTGGTGTCTTGCGTTTCTGGAGCTTGGATTTTGAAACATGCCCCTTCAAGTTTTCATCGCACGTGTGCGCGAGAGTGCAACGTCAAGTCCCTCATTCTTGCGACATGTGTTCATGAGGGCTGGAGTCTGGATGGAGTGGCATACCGTATCTGTCACGGCTTGCAGTGACACATCTCTGTTTCGTAGATCCTGGTGGTTTTGACTTGGCGTGACTGGCCACACTCATCTTCAGAAATACAGTTATAACTGCGATGATGACGGTATGACCTAATAGCGGCAAAATTAGTAAGGAGAGCCGTAAGAACAGCATTGGCAGTAGACACGACAGTCATAGGTATGGTAGAGCAGTAGCAAGGAAGCACCACTGACTTTAGTACTCTGGGGCGCTGACAGTCGCTGTAAATAAAGCAGCAGCGGCCAACAGTCTGCAGCCTCGTACATCGTGCGCTGAAGAATGCGAGGTTGCCCAACTGCTTTGCCTTTCGGCTACAGGCGGTGCTTAGTTCCAAACTTGGAGTTGTGAAGTTATGAAGTACTAGGGTACTTATAACTCTACTTATAACCTACTTACGAAGTCCCCTGGGCCTCTAAGTAGGGCAGGTAAGAGGCTGAGGCAGTGGCTTTCGGTTCCCTTTGCCCAGAGGCAGCGACGCGGAGTGCTGCGAGACAAGGCTCTGGTGGTAAAACTGCGAAGAGCTCTCACCTTCGCAGAGCCTGAGTAAGTCTTACCGAACATGGCGAGCGCGTAACTCACAAGTTCTTCTACCTTTGAGCCTCAACTGAGTTAAGCATAGGTCATGTAGTGGAAGGCAAATGTGAAGACATCAGGATCCGGAGCCCAAACTTCCCATGGTCGCATGTTAGATCTGGAGTCTTCCTCCAATGGTTGAGTCCTTCATGACACGGATATAACCGTAGAAAACCATGCCTCAAAACTGAAGTTTATGCGGGCTTCCCTCGTCCATTCTGCTTTCGCAGGCTGTGCGAGGAGTACACCTGCAGTAGCGCCACGACTCCCGGCTGTAGCAGTGCAGAGGTGTCGCATGTATATGTATTGTTATCGTTCTTCTTCTTACCACTTTGATGGTTGTTGCTATGCTAAGCCAATGATGACGATGATGACGGTGATGATGATGTTGATGGTGGCGATGATGATTTTCATGGTGATGGTCATCATCCTGACTGTTGGTCTTACTCTTCTGTTAGCTATCATGGTGCTGCTCGACGGCTTGTGCTGTTCATGGCTATGCTCCCGGCGCAGAAAACGAAGGGGATGTCGATCGTGTGTGTTGATGGGGACGTGGCTGATTCTGGCTCCGGTTCTGCCCTAAACCCTAAATTCTACTAAAACAACCCTGAACCCCTAAACCCACAGCCCTGAACCCCCAACACAGCTCATCCCTTGACTCTGCAGCCGAATCTGAGATTTACTGTGCCACCTTCCACCCGCCAGTGTGCCATTAACACCACATACCACTGCCATGCTTCTACCACTCTCATCACTGCCGTCATATGTTGCAGAATCGAACATCATAATATTACATTATGTGCGACATCATGGTATAGCACAGCTCAAGATCAAGGCCAGGTGGTGTGGCCAGGAACCCTAAACCCGAAACCCCAAACCATACCCTAAATCCCAAGCTGAATCCTAAAACCTCAACTCTAAAGCCGGAAAGCCCTAAACTCTAAACCCGGAAACCCTAACCCAAAGCCCTAAGCCCTAAGCCCCAAACCCTAAACAAGTTGATAATTAGAATAGGGTTTGGGGGTACTTTCTACTATACTTGTAGTAAGGAGCCCCCACAATAGTATATGTAATTATTAAGGCCCTTTATGGGGGTTTCTGAAAATAGGGGACCCTGATATAGTACGTACTCTAAATGGTAGGATCCTTATTATAAGGACCCCCAAATAAGGTACCCTAATTTTCGGAAACTCCCATATTATGCTCAGGAAATGGGTGCACAAGGCGGACGTGGGCTCGAAGGGCCTGTCTCAGCCGGGCTACAGCGACGAGGCCGCCGGGGAGATTCGAGGTTTAAGGTTTTAGGATTTTAGCGTATGGGATGAGAGGTTTAGGGTTTAAGATTTAGGGTTTGGGGTTTAGGGTTTAGTTTAGGGTTGGGGGTTTAGGGTTTAGGGTTTAGGATTTGGGGTTCTCGGAGACTTCGATACCCCTTGACGAAGGACTTCAGCTAAGCTTCCTTGTGCAGTCTTGCGCAAGGGATCCGAAGGTAGGGACTCGTCAGTCGAGGATCCTCAGTTGCGGGTATAGGGTAGGTATGGGTGTTTCCGAAAATAAAGGGTACCGTATTTTGGGTCCTTATAATAAGGATCCGACTGTTTAGGGTGCTGTATCAGGGTCCTTGAATGATGGAGCCTTTGACTAAAGGATATTAACTGACTGGGCTCGGAGGGTTGCAGAGTCGAGCACTAGGCTTTGCAGCGTTTGGGCATGAGACGAATGTCCAAGTTGGAAATGGCCGGGACCGCTTTCTGGGAACTTGTCTGAGTGCGGCAGAAGTACCGACCCACTCCAGAATGTGACCTCGAAAGGTCTTGCAGAGAACCTGTGTTAAAGCGGTGGAGAGCCGAGACCTCCGGCTTGTGCTGCTCTCGTCTCCCTCTTCTGCGTGCAAGTATGTCCCTGCAACCAAGGCTTCGGATCCAAGTCTCTGCCAGTACAGCGCACGACGATAATGTCATGTAGTCAGAACAAAGTACAACGAACGTACAGACAACAGTATGGCAGCTATACTCTTGTCAGAGTCGCAGACAGTACAACACAGCCCGAAACGCAGAAGAAGGTGTGATATGACAGTCTCTTTGTCAATCATCTTGCACTGTACGTCTGCACGGCAGGAATGCTGCGACAAAGTCATGTGCTCTGCCTACAGCTGCAGTCCGGCAACGAAGTGGGCGCCAATGACAGCTACAGGGTTGGCTTGGGATTTTTAGGGATCGGAATTAGGAGCAGAATTCCCTGCTAGCCCGTAAAAGTATTAGCGTTCCCTTATAATCCTGCTATCGTGCTTCTACAACATGATCCCCATTTGGCCCCTATATACAGGCATACTATAGCATGGAAAACCCTAGGGCAAATACCAAGGCCCCTGTATCACCTCGGATTCCGAAGTTCGGGGTGCAGGTTTCGGGTTTACGGTGCATATTTTTTGACAGCCTTTTTCCAAGAGTTTTAGATTTTACCTATAGTCTCCATTGTAGTTCCTTTTTGGGGATGCCTTATAAAATCCTTAATGTATAATTGGTTAAACCAAAAAACGGAACTACAATGGAGACTATAGGTAGGGTTACCCTAAACCCAAAACCCTAAACTTGCTGTCGGAGGGAAGGCAGGGTCTGCAGGCTGATTTTGGCAGCAACCACTTGTTTCAGAGGTTGCCTGCACTTCTTTACGTCTTCTGGCTTTTATTACTTCTTCACGGAATCATACCCGAAACCTTTATGGCACCCGTAGAGGAACCCTTCAAGGGAACACTTCCATGACCAGCCCAAGGCCTAAAGCCTCGACCGACCGGTGACCTTAGCTCAAGCCCTCCGTCTCTCATGTCGAATCAGCGGAAGCCTGCTTGTACCATGCTTTGAGCTTTTCTTGCTCCTTGCAACCAGTGTCGGAAACCGATCCTTGTGGGTAGCAAGGTAGGATGTCAACCCCTCCCGGTCGCGCCTGTGCTAGCAAACCCGTCCCAAAACCTTCCGCCCGAAACCCTGAACCCCAAACATTGCTCCTAGCTGCTCCGCCTCCCGGAGGAACAAGACGGCGCGTGAATCGACCCAGGGAAGCACCAATGAGGAGAAACGTGGGAAGACTGAGCCATCACGGCTGTCACTAGGGTTGAAGGTTGGTTTCACGGCTTTATGGGGGTTTAGCGTCGCGGCTTCTAGGGGCGCATGAGGCTTCCTGCGGTTCTGTAACTTTTTCGTAGGGAATGAGTAATATACTATATATATATATATATATATACATATATATATATATATATCACGCACATGCA